CATATTGAAAGACGTGAGAGTGCCATACCAGCAGTGTTCCCTCTAAGCTGAGTTAGTGTGAGCTAGCTCAGTTTTTTAGCCTCCGGCTCACGCATTTTTGTCTTAGCTCAGGAAGGAGGGCTCCAGAGCAAACTAATTTAGGCAGTAGCCAAATCACTTGCTCACAAGTTTAATGCCAGAAGCTCGCAAAGTAGGAGTTTTGATCACAAGATTCCATAGCTTAGAGGGAACATTGCATACCAGCATCTTTATAGAAGCTGAACATTGTTTAATTGCTTGTCCTACTGAATGTTGGTGAAAACAATATTCATTAAAGCTGAACTTGCATAGAGTTAACAGTTTCTAGAAATTTTGGAATGATGGGAAAACGTTTGTTTTGGGTAGAAAAATTGAAATTTGACGGAAAACTGAAATATATGCAAAACTTGATTTCTTATGCAAAAACAAAAGAATAGTTTAATAGAATGTGTAATTTAATACTTGCTGTATCAGTACTATCTGACATATTTATGGAATTTAAAATTATAAATGCCTTAGTTTTCTAAAAGTAAAATCAAGGTAAAATTCCCAATGTTACAGAGAGTTGCAAACTGTTACATCCTTTGCTTAGTTCTTAAAGAAGAAGAGATTGGATTTATACCCCGCCCTTCACTTGGAGTCTCAGAGCGGCTTACAAACTCCTTTCCCTTCCCCTCCCCACAACAGACACCCTGTGAGGTGGGTGGGGCTGAGAGAACTCTGACACAAACTGCTCTTTTTCAAGGACAGCTGTGCCAGAGCTTGTGACTGACCCAAGGTCACATCAGCAGGTGAAAGTGGAGGAGTGGGGAATCACACCTGGTTCTCCCAGATTAGAGTCCGCGCACTTAACCACTACACCAAACTGCCATATGAAGGAAGAAACAATAGATAAGTTCTTTTTAATGTCTTCTTGGTAGTAAGCAAGAATATTATTTGGACATTATTATGCAATCACAACAGGACTAGAAGCTCCATTGGGCTATCAGGTTAAATCTTACAACACCAAATTCTTCAGTAGTATGTTAAATATATAGCATATTATGAGCAAAATTTATCACAGTTAAACAATATGACACATTTTCTAAAATATTTGTCTGTGGTATTCAGACAGTTGTACCCTGCTTTTCTCCTTAATAGAAGCTCAAAGCCACTTACGACGTTGTTCTTCTCCCTGTCTCCATTTTATCTTCATAACAGTCCTATGAAATACGGTAGGTTGAGAGAATGAATCGCCCAAGGTCATTCACCAAGCTTCCATGGCAAAGGGTGGATTCAGAGCTGGGTGTTCCAGATCCTCGTCCAGTGCTCTAACTACACAGTGTACACATAAATTGTATATAGTCCTACATTATTATTTTTTTTTAAAAAACCCTTAATACTACACATTTTGACAGAGCAAATCTTTGTCTTAAATTCCTCACTCCTATAAAAAGAGAAAATATTTCCTTGGAGTTCTGTGCTCCTCAATTTCCAAATTTCTGGGCCTTCCCATCTGTAGATTGAATAGGAATATTATTAAAGGAGATCGCTTCACTTCACTTTACTGTGATCTTGAAGGGGGGCTATTTCATCAAGTGCTGTTTTGCCCATTCTAGTGTTGCAGTGCCCCAGTAGACTACTTCCTTGAATATAAATCTTCTGGCACAGATCCTGTACTTAGAAGAAGGAAAATTGGGTATCTCATGAAGTTTTTTTAATTAAGGTGGTCACAGCAAGTAGCAAAGTCTGCAGCCCCCCCCCCCTCCCAGTGCAGCCCCCCTTCAAGATCACAGTAAAGTGAAGCAAAGTCTGCAGGCCCCCCCAGTGCACAGATTTTTGTCCAAGGAAGTAAAATTTGACATAGAGCTGTGTATGATAGAAGGTCAGTATGGGGGTGGCTCCGAGGTAAAAGGGAATCCTTTAAATAAAACAGATGTTTCACATAAACATAAGAGTTTATTTAGAAATAAACGGTGTAACTGTTTCAGGAGCATTCATAAGCATAACGCAGGTAGGCACATTCAGGTAAAAGGGGATCCTTTAAATAAAACAGATTTTTCACGTAAACATAAGAGTTTATTTAGAAATAAACAGTGTAACTGTTTCAGGAGCATTCCTAAGCATAATGCAGGTAGGCCTATTTGGTAGGGTAAGCAGCAGAACAAAGTTTGAATCCAGCGGCACCTTTGAGACCAACAAAGTTTTATTCAAGGTATGAGCTTCCGTGTGCAAGTGCACTTCTTCAGATACAGTGAAACAGAATTTTCTCAACGACTACATAGAGGAAAGGGGGAGGGGGAAGTTAGAAATACAGTGAAACAGAATTTTCTCAACCACTACATAGAGGAAAGGGGGGGAGGGGTTTACTTGCCAGGAAGGGGCAGTTAGACTCATGACGCATAAGTAACTGGGCGATTATAGCTGAGATTGGATTAAGGCGGTTGGTAAGATCTGCGAATGGCAGTAAATTAGAAGAAGAGGAGGAGGAGGAGATTGGATTTATACCCCGCCCTTCACTACCCAGAGGAGTCTCAGAGCGGCTTACAAGCTCCTTTCCCTTCTCCCCACAACAGACACCCTGTGAGGTAAAAGAAGAAGAGGAGATTGGATTTATACCCCGCCCTTCACTACCCAGAGGAGTCTCAGAGCAGCTTACAACTCCTTTCCCTTCCCCTCCCCACAACAGACACCCTGTGAGGTAGAAGAAGAAGAACAGATTGGGTTTATACCCCGCCCTTCACTACCCAAAGGAGTCTCAGAGCGGCTTACAAACTCCTTTCCCTCCCCCTCCCCACAACAGACACCCTGTGAGGTAGAAGAAGAAGAACAGATTGGGTTTATACCCCGCCCTTCACTACCCAAAGGAGTCTCAGAGCGGCTTACAAACTCCTTTCCCTTCCCCTCCCCACAACAGACACCCTGTGAGGTAGAAGAAGAAGAACAGATTGGGTTTATACCCCGCCCTTCACTACCCAGAGGAGTCTCAGAGCGGCTTACAAACTCCTTTCCCTCCCCCTCCCCACAACAGACACCCTGTGAGGTAGAAGAAGAAGAACAGATTGGGTTTATACCCCGCCCTTCACTACCCAGAGGAGTCTCAGAGCAGCTTACAACTCCTTTCCCTTCCCCTCCCCACAACAGACACCCTGTGAGGTAGAAGAAGAAGAACAGATTGGGTTTATACCCCGCCCTTCACTACCCAAAGGAGTCTCAGAGCGGCTTACAAACTCCTTTCCCTCCCCCTCCCCACAACAGACACCCTGTGAGGTAGAAGAAGAAGAACAGATTGGGTTTATACCCCGCCCTTCACTACCCAAAGGAGTCTCAGAGCGGCTTACAAACTCCTTTCCCTTCCCCTCCCCACAACAGACACCCTGTGAGGTAGAAGAAGAAGAACAGATTGGGTTTATACCCCGCCCTTCACTACCCAGAGGAGTCTCAGAGCGGCTTACAAACTCCTTTCCCTCCCCCTCCCCACAACAGACACCCTGTGAGGTAAAAGAAGAAGAGGAGGATATTGGATTTATACCCCGCCCTTCACTACCCAGAGGTGTCTCAGAGCGGCTTACAAACTCCTTTCCCTCCCCCTCCCCACAACAGACACCCTGTGAGGTGGGTGGGGCTGAGAGAACTCTGACACAAACTGCTCTTTTTCAAGGACAGCTCTGACAGAGCTTGTGACTGACCCAAGGTCAAATCAGCTGCGAGTGGAGGAGTGGGGAATCAAACCCGGTTCTCCCAGAGTCCACACAATTAGCATACATAAATACAAGAGTTAACAAACAGATGTGAGAACCGAGTTTGAGTCCAGTGGCACCTCCAAGGCCAAGAGAGTTCAGTTCTGGGTATAAGTGACAACCGAGAGACTTAGCATGTGTAGATGCACACTCCTTCAGATACATTGAAACAGATTTCATCAAACATTACATATAGATTGGGGGGGTGGTAGTTGCCATAGGAAGAGCTAATTGAAGTCAAGATGCATAAGTAACAGCAATAAATACAGCTAAGACTAGAATAACACGCTTGATAAGACCTGTGGATAGCCAATTGGCATACAGATAATAAAGGAGTTAACAGAAGTGAGAATCAGGTGTAAGTCCAGTGGCACCTTGAAAACCAACTAAGTTTAATTTCTGGGTTTAAGTGAGAACAGTTCTCCCTTCTGTCCAGAAATTAAACTTCATTGGTATTAAAGGTGCCACTGGGCTCCCAACTTAGTTTTTAGATTTTTA